CCAAATAAGTACTAAAATTTTGGGAAAAGAATTAATTTAGTTCCTAAAATTTTATTAATTTTCGTCCTTAAATAATTCTTCTTTAGTTACCATTTTTGTCCTTTTTTAGTTTCTCTTTTTTTTTTAATGATTGAAGATTATTTTTGGTGATGATGAGAATAAATGTAGATCAATTGAATGAAAATTGCTCATTGTTCTATAGTGTGTTATTTATTATTATTTTTATTTTTTATTTTTGTATTTATGGTGAAGATGTCATAAATTAATTTTTTACGTATTTCAAGACTAATTTTTTTCCTAACAGTCATAAGAGTGCACTCCTTATAATATTGACATGGTGTATTCAAAGAAATTAATTTTCTCAAATATTGGTCCTAAAACTTGAACCATGCACCTAACTTATAAAATGACACATATTTACCAATAAATCTAACTTTTAAACTAACAACATATTAGTTCGAGTGAAAAAAGCTCACATCCTCTTAAATAAAGTTGAGTTCGAGTTTCTACCCTTATAAAGTCCAATGTAACTCGATTCTAAATTAATTAGAGTCTAAGTACCAATATATATATATATCCAACTTTTAAAGTTGTTGATTTATTAATATTCTTTTACTTTAACTATTCCATTCATTAGTACTTTTTTACTTAATACTCCAGTTTTTTTAGTTATCCTAATTCCTTAATTTTTACAAATTAATTTAATGATTTTATATAATGACTATTGAAATTTTTTTTATCTAAATAAAAATATCCAACAAGAACTACACATAAAAAAAAATTCAATTGTTATCTATGTACTATATAAAATTACCTGATCAATTTTTTTCAAAGATCAAATTAGAACAATCAAATCCAACCGAAAGGATTATATGCTTATTTTTGTCATTCAACTGATGATCTCTAATTATACTACGTCATAAATCTTATTCATTTATTATAATTTAGCACTTAAAAATTAACACTTTTTTTTAAGTACTAATGATCTAAGTAATTTAGAATAATCTTCTTTCAATGAAAGAATGAGTTTGGTGTGGGCGAGGCACTAACAAAATTGTCATTGTAAAATGATTTCCTTTCTCTTAAAATTTTGCCATTGGTTAATGACAAATGCCCTGTTACTTGGGTTTCGTTTGGGAGT